CAGAAGAGAAGAATGAGGGGGGATTTGATAGCTGCTTTCAACTACCTGAAAGGGGGTTCCAAAGAGGATGGATCTAGACTGTTCTCAGTGGTAGCAGATAACAGAACAAGGAGTAATGGTCTCTAGTTGCAGTTGGGGAGGTTTAGGCTGGATATTAGGAAAAACTTTTTCACTAGGAGGGTGGTGAAGCAGTGGAATGGGTTTCCTAGGAAGGTGGTGGAATCTCCATCCTTAGAGGTTTTTAAGGTCAGGCTTGACAAAGCCCTCGCTGGGATGATTTAGTTGGGGATTGGTCCTGCTTTGAGTAGGGAGTTGGACTAGATGACCTCCTGAGGTCCCTTCCAACCCTGATATTCTATGATTCTATGGCTTGATCTTCCAAAGCTTTACTTACGTGTGTATTTCAATCAAATAAGAACTACTTGTGTACTTGAAGGATTGATAGCCCTTAGATCTAACACCGTCTGAGGCAGGGCCATAAGTATTATTGACACTATTTGGTATGAGGAAACTAAGACAAGGAACTTGGTCCTGTATGCCTTGAGCAAACTAGACTTCTCAGGAGACGGGAATGGAAATCTTGCCTGGGTACAAAATATGGGAATGGGCACAGCAGTGTTAAGTGATCTCCCCCAATCCATATAGGCAGTCAAGTTAAGAATCTAGTAGTCTCTTTCGGCCTAAAACCAAGACTGCTCTTGATATCTCACCTCTCAAGTGAACACGAAATACCAGGACTAGAGTTTTCTAAAGTGATCGCTGTTGGCCTAACTCCACTCCCTTTGAAGTCAATGGTACTGTCAGTTGGAGCGAAGGTAAATCAGTGCAGAATGCTTTGGAAAAGCCTGCCCTAGAAATCTAGTGATACGTTTTTTTTTTTTTAAACAGGAGGTAGGGCTCTATCCCATTGTTCTGCATTCATTGAAGTCCTGGGGCATTTTGCCATTGATATAAATGGGTGTAGGCTCAGACCCATAGCCATTTATCTCCCATCAATCACATAGGAATGATGCATCTTCATCCCCCCGATCCTCCTTCCCCAACTTCCCTTATGCACTATTTGAAATACCCCGGATTGAGCTTCACTCATTGGGTCATTTTTTTGCCGAAAGCTTGAGTTTGCAAAAAGTTTTAGAATAAAATGATGGAATATTACAGCATGAACGTAAGTTGGGACTTGAACTCAAAGGGTGGGGGAAGGGAGGAAACAAAAGGCCACACGCTACCCTTCAGTTGTAAAATTCTTACTCGTATTTACTGCCGAGTGTATTATATTGCATGACGGTTGCACAGCAACAAAATAAAGTTTATCTGTTGAAGGAAATATGAGTGTTTCTCAGAGCATAAGGAAGCATAATTTCGACTGTTTACTGCACTTATCATATGTGTTGCAATGTGGACTGTGTCAGATGTCAATTACAGAGCAATTTCAGAAAGACTGTTTATTTTAGATAATATAAATGTTACTCAAAAGATAGGGGCATAGTATCTTATGTTTACATGTTTAAGATCTATTTCTAAAGTTTAGAAGATGCAGTTTCCTGTCCTTAACCCAACTTAATTTGAGGAAGGTCCCGTAGTGTTGTGGCCCAGAGTAAATTTTGATGGTGAGGAAATAGACTTTATTCGTTGGGTTTAATTAACCATTTCTAGGTTACTGCTCCGATGGGATAATGAACTTGCTCTGCTTATCTCCTAACTGACTGACTCTCCAAGTTCAAAGCTGATAAGCCCTCTTCATAAAGAGTGATTTCAGAGCCAAATGTTAAAAGGCTGCAGGATGAAGTTAATGCATTTGCCTTAAATCTTTCAGTTTTTTAAAAACTTTCATGGTGAAGTGGAATTTCCCTGGATCTTGTGACAGACTAACAACGTTGTTTGTGAAAATTAATGTGAAAAGACAGGTGTTTTGTATCTGATTTTTGATTATGGGGTGGGAAAGCAGGGGTTGGCTCAATAGATCACAGAGGAGCACGCAGATTTATAAAAACCCACACAAATCCCCCCAAGACTTGTCCAACCAAAATAAAAACAACTTACATTGCATACCCAATTTCCCCCCTGGGGCTAGGATGAGTGAGAACGAGCCACATGTGACAGATGTTAGTGTGAGAGAATGTACCCCTGTATTCACAACTTACACACTATTGTAATAATCTTTGTACAAAGTATGCCATGTATGTATGTATGTATCATTTGAAAATTTGTCGTTTACTGATCAGTATCATCCTGATAAAATGTGTGGTATCGTATGTTAAGATTAGATTTCCCTGTATGATGATGATGACATATGCTCCAAACCACAGCCCTAACCAAGCAGGAGTTGGCAGACAGGTCTGTCTCAAACAAAGATATGTGTGCTCTGCTTGATTTACATTTAAGCAGTAAACAGAGTCATCAAGCAGGAAAGGAAACCCGGTGAGGAAAAAGCAGCAGGGAACATCCTTCCCCATAGACTTTTTGTCTCCTGGTACCCAAGAGGGGTATGGAAACTATAAAAAGGAGGGACAAACACCCCAAGGCACCCATCTCTCTCCCTCTGCCCCATATTATTCTCTACATCTGAAGCAATAAAGGAAGACTTCATTGGATTCTGGGAGAAGAGGTCCTGATCTATAGGGTTTGGTCAGTAAGACTGCTGAACACATATGGTGAGAAATTTTGCTTAAATCTGATACAGTTTAAGTTAGGCACTAATAGCATTTTAACTTTATTTCCTTCTAACCATTTCTGATTTTCATGCCTCGTTTCTTGTACTCCCTTAAAAATCTTTTTCTTTGTAGTTAATAAACTTGCCTTATCTAATCCAGTGTGTTTGAATTGAAGTGTTTGGGAAACTTCATTTGGGTGGCAAGTGTTGTGCATATTATTTCTATTAAAGAAATAATGGACTTAATAGAAACTTGTATTGCCCTAGAGAGGACTGAGCAGTATAGGACATACATTTCTTGGGGAAAATTTAAGACTGGGAGTGTGTTGGGTCCCCTTCAGTATTACCAAGCTAGTAAGAGTCAAGGTGTGGCTGGCTGGCTGCAGAACATACAGAGGCATAGCTAGGAGTAACTTGCATGGTGGAGGCTGATTGTGAGCAGTCCGGGCTGGAAGTGACTGCAGCAAAGCATTGTCCAGGGCACCCCAGGTCAGAGGGCTGGGGTGACA